ATATACTGGTTTGTTTCTGGGATTTTTTTTTTAACCATTTTTTAAAACTAAAAGTCCATAGTTCACATAATGTTCACTCTGTGTGTTTTACATTTCTATGGGTTTTGGCAGATGTTCAATAACATGTATCCTCCATTACAATAGTATACAGAATAGTTTCAATGGCCCAAATATCCCTTGCACTCCACTGATTCATCCTCCCACTCCTGTTCTCCTGGTGACCACTGACCTTCTTACTGCCGCTGTAGTTTGCCTTTTTTAGAATGTCATATAGTTAGATTCATATCTCTTCACACTGGCTTCTTTGACTTAGGAATATGCAGTTAAGATTCGTCCATGTCTTTCTGTGGCTTGATAGTTCATTTATTTTTATTACTGAATAATATTCCAATGTATGGATGTATCTCATTTTGTTTGTTCATCTGTTGACTGGCATCTTGGTTGCTTTTAGTTTTTGGCAGTTATGAATAAAGCTACTATAAATATTCTAGTGCAGATTTTTGTGTGGACATAAGTTTTCAGTTCATTTGAGTGAATACATGGGAAGACAATTGTTGAATTGTACCGTAAGGCTACATTTAGCTTGGTAAGAAACTGCCAAACTTCTCCCAAAGTGGCTGTACCATTTTGCATTCCCCAACAGCAATGAGTGAGCATTTCTTTCTTTCTTCTTTTTTTTTTTTTTTTTTTTTTGAGATAGGGTCTCACTCTGTTGCCCAGGCTGGAGTGCAGTGGCACGATCTCGGCTCACTGCAACCCCCATGTCCTGGGTTCAAGTGATTGTTCTGCCTCAGCCTCCCAAGTAGCTGAGATTAAAGGCACCTGCCACCACACCTGGATAATTTTTGTATTTTTTTTAGTAGAGACAGAGTTTCATCATGTTGGTCAGGCTGATTGCGAACTCCTGACCTCAAGTGATCCGCCCACCTTGGCCTCCCAAAGTGCTGGGGTTACAGGTGTGAGCCACCGCGCCCAGGCAAGAATTTCTGTTGCTCTATGTCCTTGTATTTGGTATTGTCCAATTTTTTTGATTTTAGCCATTCTCATAGGTGGGTAGTGGTATCTTGTTTGAATTTACAATCCCCTAATGACATATGATGTTAGATATCTTTTCATATGCTTATTTGTCATCTGTATCTCTTCCTTGGTAAGGTGTCTGCTCAGATCTTTTGTCCATTGAGTTTGTTTTCTTATTGCTGACTTGAGTTCTTTGTATGTTTTGGATACCAGTCCTTTATTACAGGGTTCCCCAACCCCTGGGCCACAGACCAGTACCCATTAGGAAATGGGTCACACAGCAGGAGGTGAACAGTGGGACAGAGAGCAAAGCTTCATCTGTATTTACGGCCACTCCCCATTGCTTGCATTACCACCTGAGCTCCGCCCTCTGTCAGATCAGTGATGGCCTTAGATTCTCTTCAGAGCACAAACCCTATTGTGAACTGCGCATGTGACGGATCTAGACTGCACACTCTTTATGAGGATCTAATCCCTGATGATCTGTCACTGTCTTCCATCACCCCCAGATGGTACCGTCTAGTTGCAGGAAGACAAGCTCAGGGCTCTCACTGATTCTACATTATGGTCAGTTGTATAATTATTTCATTATATATTATAATGTGATAATAGAAATAAAGTGTAGAATAAATACAATGCACTTGAATGATCCTGAACCATACCCCCCCACAATCCCGTCCATGGAAAAATTGTCTTCCATGAAACTGGTCCCTGGTGCCAGAAAGGCTATGGACTACTGCTTTATCAGATATGTGTTTCACAAATATTTCCTCAAAAAACAAACAAACAAACAAAAAAACTCAAATATTTCCTCCAAGTCTGTGGTTTATCTTTTCATTCTCTTTAACAGTATCTTTTGTAGAGCAGAAGTTTTTAATTTTAATGAAGTCCAACATCATTTTTTTCTTTCATGGAGTGTGCTTTTGGTATTGTATTTAAAAACTCATCACTTAAGCTAAGGTCACAAGGATTTTCTTCTGTTATTTTCTAGAAATTTTATAGTTTTATATTTTACATTTAGGTCTGTGATCCATTTAGAGCTAAATTTTGCAAAAGGTGCAAAGTATGTGGCTAGATTTATTTATTTATTCATTTTTGCAAATGGATATCCAGTTGTTCCAATACCATTTTTGGAAAAGACTGTCCTTTCTCCATTGAATCCCCTTTGCTCCTTTGTCAAAGATCAGTTGACTGTCTTTGTGAGGGTCTATTTCTGGGTTTACTATTCCATTCCATTGATCTATTTGTCTATTCTTTTTTTAATACCATACTTTTTTTTATTACTGTAGCTTTACAGTAAGTGTTGAAGTCAGGTAGTATCAGTCTTCCAACTTTGTTCTTTAGTGTTCTGGACTGTTCTAGGTCTTTTCTGCATTTCCATGTAAATTTTAAAATCAGTTGGTTGATATCCAAAAAATAACTTTGGGCTTTTGATTAAGACTGCGTTTAATGTGTAACTCAAGTTGGGAAGCACTGATATCTTAACAAAATAAAGTCTTATCCATGAACATGTAATATGTCTCTATTTATTAGCTCCTTTTTGATTTCTTTCACCAGGATTTTGTAGGGACATTCTTTCAATATAACTGGCTTCTTTTGGAATCCTACATATTTCATTTTATGCGTTTTTAAATACGTCTTGCAAAAGCTTCCTCAGACTATCAAAGGGGTTAATAAACAAAGGTTAAAGAAGTAGTAATTCTCCTCTAAGCTATCATTCAGCAAACAATTTGTATTCTGCAAATGTGGAGGTTGATAGGCGAGGATAATTTATTATATTGTCTTGCCAGTTTAACATTTATTTTTCCTAAAAGAACCAGCATCTCAATAGAGTTGGCATTATACATAGTGTGACTTTTGTATTTTTAAGGCTGTCAAAAAGAAAATCTACCCCTAAAGTTTCCTTTAACTGAGCCAGAGTATTACTCCTGCTGACTGGCTAATTTCTAGAATAGATTATTAGAGTTATCTAACTCTGGTTTGGTACTTCTTAAGGAGAAGCAGCAATAGAAAAGACTGTCTCAGTTTCCTCATTATAAAATGAGGAAAATAATAGGTTTTTTTTTTTTTTTTTTTTTTTGAGACGGAGTTTTGCTGTTGTCACCCAGGCTGGACTGCAGTGGCGTGATCGTGGCTCACTGCAACCTCTACCTCCCTGCCTCAGCCTCCTGAGTAGCTGGGATTACAGCTACCCGCCACCACACCCAGCTAATTTTTGTAATTTTAGTAGAGATGGGGTTTCACCACATTGGCCAGACTGGTCTCGAACTCCTGACCTCAGGTGATCCGCCCGTGCAACTCGACCTCCCGAAGTGCTGGGATTACAAGCAGGAGCCACTGCACCCGGCCAATAATAGCTTTTTTGCAAGGTTGTTGTATTAGGGTTCTCTAGAAGGACAGAACTAATGGAAGAGCTATACACACACACACACACACACACACACTATATATATATGTATGTATGTATATATATATGGGAGTTTATTAAGTATTAACTCACACAATCACAAGGTCCCACAAAAGGCCATCTGCAGGCTGAGGAGCAAGGAATTTCAAAACTGAAGAACTTGGAATCTGATGTTTGAAAGCAGGAAGCATCCAGCTCAGGAGAAAGATACAAGCTGGGGCCGGGTGTGGTGGCTCACGCCTGTAATCCCAGGACTTTTAGAGGCTGAGGCAGGCGGATCATGGTCAGGAGAACAAGACCATCCTGGCCAACACAGTGAAACCCCGTCTGTACTAAAAATACAAAAAAATTAGCCGGGCGTGGTGGCATGCGCCTGTAGTTCCAGCTACTCGAGAGGCTGAGGCAGGAGAATCACTTGAACCGGGAGGCGGACATTGCAGTGAGCCGAGATCGCGCCCCTGCACTCCTGCCTGGCGATAGCGAGACTCCATCTCAAAAAAAAAGAAAAAAAGATATAGCCCGGGAAGCTAGGCCAGTCTCTCTTTTTCACGTTTTTCTGCCTGCTTATATTCTAGCTGCACTGGCAGTGGATTTGGTTGTGCACACCCAGATTAAGGATGGGTCTGCCTTTCCCAGCCCACTGACTCAAACGTTAATCTCCTTTGGCAACATGCTCACAGACACACCCAGGATCGATACTTTGTATTCTTCAGTCCAATCAAGTTGATACTCAGTATTAGCCATTACAGTTGATATAAAGATTAAAGATGGTAATAAATTAATTAAAGAGTAATAATTCAAAAGAGTAGTAAATTCCTTAGTATAATGTCTACCACTTAGTATACTGTCACCTATTTTTGTTTTTTAAGTTTTTTTTGAGACACGGTCTCACTTTGTCACCCGGGCTGGAGTGCAGTGGTGTAATCACAGCTCACTGCAGCCTCAATGTCCTGGGCTCCAGCGATCCTCCCACCTCACCCTCCCAAGTTGCTGGAACCACAGGCATGCGCCACCATACCCAGCTAACTTTTTGTATTTTTAGTAGAGAAGGGGTTTCACCATGTTGCCCAGGCTGGTTTCGAACTCCTGACCTTGTGATCTGCCCGCCTCAGCCTCCCAAAGTGCTGGGATTACAGGCATGAGCTATTACCATGCCTAGCCCCTAGTAGATGATTTTAAAATGCTGATTGTTATTACTGAGAAAGGAAATATGCTTAAACCTATTACTACTGCTTCATCAACGACTAGAAATGTGTGCCCTCTCTGCTCTGAGTTAGAAGAGGGAAGGATTGTAGAATTCTGAGGCAGGCCTACTGTCTATACCTGTTCCTTCATAAGCATTGTCAGCTTTTAAGCATTGATGAGGTAGTATGTTTGTTTATGCATATTAGTTATTTGCCAAATGTTTAATGAAAAGTTGTCTTAAATTTACTAAAAGTGAAACAAAAAGTACTTGTTTCTTTTCTTCTCTAAATTGTATGTGGATCCTTTTCATTGACTTTAAGGAAATGAAATGTTTCTTCCCTTGTTTGTTAAAGAAACAAAACTCATTGATGATTTTCCATTTTTGTTCTAGAGAGAAATTTCGTCATCTGTGCAACTTTCTTAAAGCAAACTAAGACCAGAGGGAGGATTATCCTTGACCTTTGAAGACCAAAACTAAACTGAAATTTAAAATGTTCTTCGGGGGAAAAGGGAGCTTGACCTACACTTTGGTAATAATTTGCTTCCTGACACTAAGGCTGGCTGCTAGTCAGAATTGCCTCAACAAGAGTCTAGAAGATGTTGTCATTGACATCCAGTCATCTCTTTCTAAGGGAATCAGAGGCAATGAGCCCATATATACTTCAACTCAAGAAGACTGCATTAATTCTTGCTGTTCAACAAAAATCATATCAGGTAAAAAGTGGTTTCTTGGCAATCCTTTGTTCCATATGTTTTGTGGCTTCAGTAGCTGGGGGATGTGGCTGAATAACTTATGCCAGTGATTCTCAACAGGGTATGAATGTCAGTGACAAAAACACTGGAGAATTTTCTACAAGTGTGCCCTCCCATCCCCTAAGCTGAGTCCAAGTTATTGATGAATGTATGTATATATCCGTCAGGTGACTGGGTACACAAGAGATTGAGAATCACTGGTGTTATATCCCAACCGGTATCTCGAATATTGAAAACAAAAATCCTATTGAAATGGTTAGCTGCCGTCAGCATGGAGTATTGGAATACAGTGTGATATTACAAAGAAAATGTTAACAGAGAAAAGGAGTTGAGAGAAAAAATGGAATTCTTATCTCATGGGAAAATCAGCATTTGATCTTTAAGTTGGAAGCATAAAACCTCCACTTTGTCTCTTTCCTTGGAGCTGATGGCATAGGATAAGTCAAAAAAAAAAACAACCGCCGGGCGCGGTGGCTCAAGCCTGTAATCCCAGCACTTTGGGAGGCCGAGACGGGCGGATCACAAGGTCAGGAGATCGAGACCATCCTGGCTAATCCGGTGAAACCCCGTCTCTACTAAAAAATACAAAAAACTAGCCGGGCGAGGTGGCGGGCGCCTGTAGTCCCAGCTACTCGGGAGGCTGAGGCAGGAGAATGACGTAAACCCGGGAGGCGGAGCTTGCAGTGAGCTGAGATCCGGCCACTGCACTCCAGCCTGGGCGACAGAGTGAGACTCCGTCTCAAAAAAAAAAAAAAAAAAAAACAACCACTGACTACTAGGTAACTGCAGCTTCTAGAACTCTAATGGAATGGGGAATCATTTAGTCTGACCCCTTTTCATGACACCGGAGGAAACTGAGACCCATAGGTTTGAACCAGGCCTTTGCACATTTTAGGATTTAAATCTTGAAACTGAAAAGAGAAGTATACTGTGTATCTTAGTAAAACAGTGGTCTTTTTTCAATTTTACTTATGACTCTGTCCGAGTTCTCTAAATGAAAAAAACTAAATTTATTGAGTACTTAATACTTTACTAGTTGCTAGAGAGAAAACACTGAATAAGATGGACAAAGCTTTGCTATCAAGGAGCCTAGAAAAGCTAGTGAATGGCTGGACATGGTGACTCATTCCTGTAATCCCAGAACTTTGAGAGGCCAAGGCAGGAGGATTGCTTGAGACCAGCCTGGGCAACATAGCAAGACCCTGTTCTCTGTAAAAAGTAAAAAATTAGCCAGGCATAGTGGTGCATGCATGTAGTCCCAGCTACTGGGAGGCTGAGGTAGGAGGATCATTTGAGCCCAGGGGGTTGAGGCTACAGTGAACTTTTTTGTTTGTTTGTTTGTTTGTGATGAAGTCTCACTCTGTTGCTCAGGCTGGAGTGCAGTGGCGCAATCTCGGCTCACTGCAATCTCTGCCTCCCAGGTTCCAGTGATTCTACTGCCTCAGCCTCCCCAGTAGCTGAGATTACAGGTGTTCACCACCACACCCAGCTAATTTTTACTATTTTCAGTAGACACGTGGTTTCACTATGTTGGTCAGGCTGGTCTTGAACTCCTGACCTCAAATGATCCTCCCACCTTGGCCTCCCAAAATGTTGGGATTACATGTGTGAGCCACCGCACCCAGCCTGCAGTGAGCTTTGATCGAACCACTGCCCTCCAGCCTGGGTGACAGAGCAAGGCCTTGTCTCAAAAGATGCATATTTGATCTTTGTCTCCAGTTCCTGGCACAGAACTCCTAAAGACCTTGGAATTTCCCAAGTGATGGGAGCATGTCTTTGGTTATTCATAACCAACCCCTTTCAGCTATACTTGAGTTTGGGCTAGTGAGGCTTCACCTCGGTGGAGGAGCCAGAGATTGAGTTCAGTCACAGTGGCCCATGACTTAATCAATCATGCTTGTGTAATGAAACCATCATAAAAACCCCTAGATGATGGGGGATCATCCAAGTTGGTGAACACATCCCAGTGTCAAGAGGATTATGCACCCCAATTCCCCAGGAACAAAGTCTCCTGTACTTGGGACTCTAGGAGCCTCTTTTGGCTGTTCATTTGTATCCTTTATTATAAAACATAATAGTAAATACAGCATTTTCCTTAGTTCTTTTTTTTTTTTTTTTTGAGACGGAGTCTCCCTCCATCACCCAGGCTGGAGTACAGTGGCATGATCTCCGCTCACTGCAAGCTCTGCCTCCCAGGTTCACGCCATTCTCCTGCCTCAGCCTCCCGAGTAGCTGGGACTACAGGTGCCCAAAGCCAGGCCCGGCTACTTTTTTGTATTTTTGGTAGAGACGGGGTTTCACCGCATTAGCCAGGATGGTCTCGATCTCCTGACCTTGTGATCCACCCGCCTCAGCCTCCCAAAGTGCTGGGATTACAGGCGTGAGCCACCGCGCCCGGCCCCATTTTCCTTAGTTCTGTTAGTTGTTCTTACAAATTATCAAATCTGAGGGGGTAGGATCAGGGAATCCCTGAATTAGTAGTAGCCAAGTCAGACAGACAGAAGTGTGGGTGACCTGGAGACCTGATACTTGCTACTGGCTTCTGAAGTGAGGGCAGTCTTGTGATGCTGAGCCCGTCATCTATGGAGTCTGATGCCAGCTCTGGATAGTTGGTGTCAGAATTGAACTGAATAGTAGGATAGGTGGTTATTGCTGCAAAATGGTGTGGAGAAGACACCGTATACTTGCTGTCAGGAGGAAAAATCCCTTCGATGGTCTCATTGAGCAGTGCGTTTTGGAACACTTTGTGCAAGTAATTTACGGAAATGACAGAGGTTTAATTTACATTTCGAGTTTTTCTTTAAATGTTGACATCGACATGTATGTGAAATAGAAAGATCACCTGCAAGCAGGACTGAATACTGTAAGTGTGGGTATTTACAGGCATCAGCAAAGCCCTTCATTTCTCCTCAATTCTAAGAAATGAGGGTTTGCTGTTTTATTCTATAAGCCGAAGTCCTATTACTGCTTTGCTACAAGCAGAGGTACTTGGGACCTCAGTTAATGGATCTCAAACATTTTCCTCACTTACTGAGAAATGGTTTCACCACTGAGGGTTCAAAAGGCACTATGATATCTTGATGATACTCTAGAAAAATATACATAACACGATGGCCACAATATCTTGCATACAATTTTGAGGCTTATGGACCCTCCCCTTTACCTAAGTGCTAAAAAGAAAGGTATTTCTGGTATCACATTGTTGAGAAAGAAAAGGCAGGAGTACTCCTGTTATTTTCCGAGTAATGGGGATATGACATGATAAAATTCCTGCAGAGGCTAACTAAATCTTCCTTTCCATCTGGGGAGTTGGAGTCGATCTCTCACCATTACCTGACTAGCACCAGTGGTGGTGATGGTCGACAGAGCGTGTGTTTTTAACAGTTAGCCTATGTGCCTCTTAACCTTTAACCTGACCAGGGATATGCTGACCTCCCAAAGGTGTGAGACTGTACCAAATGGAGGACAAAATCTAATCTAGGCCATGATAAATCGAGAGTTTCATTTCTGTTGGACACAAAAGGAAGAGAAAAAGAAGCCAGCGGCTAGGTGCAGTAGCTCATGCCTGTAATCCCAGTACTTTGGGAGGTTGAGGGGGAGGGACTCAGCCTAGGCAACGTAGTGAGACCCTGCCGCTACAAAAAACAAAAAATTAGCCAGGCATAGTGGTGCACGCTTGTAGTCCCAGCTACGGGGGAGGCTGAGGTGGGAGGATTGTTTGAGCCCAGGAGGCCAAGGCTGAAGTGTTCCGTGATTGTTCCACTGCACTGCAGCTTGGATGACAGAGCAAGACCCTGACTCAGAAAAGAAAAGAGACCAGAAATTATAGTTAAGAGTGAAAAGTGAGGAAGGAAGGAGCATAGAAAAGCAAACATGATAAGGAGAGAGGGGAAATTGGAAGAAAAACACAAAGAATGGTACAGATAAAAATTAAAGGATAGATTGTATTCCTTATACTACTCAGATCCTGTGTGGAAGGAGCCATGATAGCGATAATAATTTACTGACTCCACTCATGACTTTATTAGGCATCTGAGATGCTTTCAGAATCCAAGAGATGGCCAGGTGCGGTGGCTTACACCTGTAATCCCAGCACTTTGGGAGGCCAACAAGGGCAAACAGCTTGAGCCCAGGAGTTCAAGACTAGCCTGCGCAACATAGAGAGACTCCATCTCTACAAAAAATACAAAAAAATCCGAGTGTAGTGGCTTGCATCTGTGGTCCCAGTTACTTGGGAGGCTGAGGTGGGAGGATCTCTTGAACCTGGGAGGTGGAGGTTGCAGTGAGCTGAGATCATGCCACTGCACTTGCACTTCAGCCTGAGTGACAGAGCAAGACGTTATCTCAAAATAAAAATACAAATAAAAATAAATCCCAGTTTTGTAAGCAACACGTAAAGCATTGTGGGCAGGGGCCAGCGGAGCACATGCCTCCTTCTCTCCATCAGGCCTGCTCAGGGTGTGACCTTGGCCACATGAGTGTCAGATGTTTGGTGCTAGAATGCTGGCCCTGGCATCCACAGTGAACACCAGTGTGTGGTTGTCTTCTATCTTCATAGCACATCAGTAGTCAGGGCTTGATGATGGCAGAGTGGTCAAGCTTGTGGGAGCACTCTTCCCAGGATATTTGGGCTACCTCTGGAGCCACAGTGTCTTGGGCTGCTGGAGGTGAGTGACATGCAGGGGTGTGTGTGTGTGTGTGTGTGTGTGTGGTTGTGGACACCTTTCAACCCTGCCTTCTTGGCCTTTAAAGACTTTGCTTTGACTTGGACTTTAGGAGGGACAGGAGCTTCCTTCTTCGCCTTCGGTGCCATCTTATGGAAAAAAAAAAGCTAAACCCAATGTCTTTTAAAATTGCCTTAAGCGACTAAACTAAGGAAAAGGAAATGATTCAGCGGTCAGCAAACAAGTGAACAAAATGAACAAAGGTGTTTGTGTTGGACTCCATAATAAGTGAAGCTTTTCCTGCTTGCCCTACTCTTTAGAAAATCTCATTTCAAAATCATGCTTATGAAACCTTTCATTGCAGGGGACAAAGCATGTAACTTGATGATCTTCGACACTCGAAAAATAGCCAGACGACCCAACTGCTACCTATTTTTCTGTCCCAATGAGGAAGCCTGTCCACTGAAACCAGCAAAAGGACTTAGGAGTTACAGGATAATTAGAGGTAATAAAAGCATTATACTTTTTCTTTTGTGATTGGAATAACAAGACTGTGGTTTATGGAAAGATTTTCTACAAGAGTCTAAATAAAACTACCAGAAAGGGTCACAAATACTGAGACATAACAGAAAATCTCATGATTGGAAATTCAATTTATTAAACCAAAATTTGATTTCCAATGAAAGGCATGGTAGTATTTGTTCTGGTTTGTTTCTGTTTTTACCTTTATGAGATAAAAGGCATACAAACCTTTTATGAAACATTTCTGAAGCACGTCTTTAGAACAAGGTCTGCAACACTGGAATAAGTATACAGGTCTCCAGGGTGACTGTTTTGAAAGGGTGAAGACTCGTGTTAATATAGAAAGTTCTAGTATATTTGTTATTAAGTTCCCATTATAATCACATTATCTGAAATCAAACTTGTTTATGGCCATATCACCCTGAAGGCACCCAATCTCATCTGAAATCAAACTCACTGGATTTTATTGTCTAGACCTGAAAGGAAATTCATTCAAGAGATATTTATTAAACATTTACCACGTGCCAGATTCTCTGCAAAGCACTACAAGTACAGTCTCCACGTTCATGGAACTTACATATTAATTCAGAATGGAAAATGAATAGCAAAAAAATTAATATAATTACTGGGATATGTTTTGCTGAGACTTTGGCTTGTTAATTTTTCAAGTTGAAATAGTTTCAATATCAATTTTTCTTTTTTTTTGAGATTATCCATATAAAAAAGGTGAAAACAAATATAATGTTGCTTAAGTAATTCTGTGGACCCTTCATAGACAATATTTGCATAAAATCAGAATTACAGAATTTAGTGGGGTTTTTTGTTGCTGTTTGTTTTGTTTTCTTTTCTGAGACGAAGTCTCGCTCTGTGGCCCAGGCTGGAGTGCAGTGGCGCCATCTCGGCTCACCGCAAACTCTGCCTCCCGGGTTCACACCATTCTCCTGCCTCTGCCTCTCGAGTAGCTGGGACTACAGGCACCTGCCACCACACCCGGCTAATTTTGTTTTTGTATTTTTAGTAGAGACAGGGTTTCACCATGTTAGCCAGGATGGTCTTGATCTCCTGATCTTGTGATCCACCCGCCTTGGACTCTCAGAGTGCTGGGATTACAAGCGTGAGCGTTATTGTTGTTTTTTGAGACAGAGTCTCACTCTGTCGCCCACGCTGGAGTGCAGTGGCGCGATCTCAGCTCACTGCAACCACCTCCTCCCATGTTCAAGCAATTCTCATGCCTCAGCCTCCCAAGTAGCTGGGGTTACAGACACCCACTACCATGCCCAGCTATTTTTTTTTTTTTTGTATTTTTAGTGGAGACGGGGTTTCACCATGTTGGCCAGGCTGGTCTCAACTCCTGACCTCAGGTGATCCACGCTCCTGGGCCTCCCAAAGTGGTGGGATTAAAGGCATGAGCCACTGCACCCGACCTCAATTTTTCTTTTATTTAAGTTTTAGAAAGTTATCATCATAGTCTTGATTTTTAACATTCTACTCGTTCATTTATTCAACAAATAACAAATATTGTTTAGCATCTTCTATGTGCCAAGTACTTTCTATGCCCTAAGGAAACAACACTTAACATGAAAAACAAGGTTCTGGCCAAGTGTGGTAGCTCATGCCTGTAATTCCAGCACTCTGGGAAGCGGGAGGATCACTTAAGCCCAGGAGTTCGAGACCAGCCTGGGCAACATGGTGAGACCTCATCTCCACAAAAACTTTAAAAAATTAGCCAGGAATGGTGGTGTGATCTTATAGTCCCAGCTACTTAGGAGGCCAAGGTAGGAGAATTCCTTGAGCCCAGGAGGTCAAAGCTGCAGTGAGCCGTGTTCGTGCCACTACAGTCTAGCCTGGGTGACAGAGTGAGACTCTGTCTCTAAAAAAAAAAATAGGAAAACAAGATTCTCCCTTCTGGAACTTATGTTTTAGGGGAGAGAGACAATAACCATAATAAATAATCGGCTGGGCGCGGTGGCTCACGCCTGTAATCCCCGCACTTTGGGAAGCCAAGGCGGGCAGATCACAAGGTCAAGAGATCAAGACCATCCTGGCTAACACGGTGAAACCCCGTCTCTACTAAAAATTCAAAAAATAGCCCGGCTTGGTGGCAGGCGCCTGTAGTCCCAGCTACTCGGGAGGCTGAGGCAGGAGAATGGCGTGAACCTGGGAGGCAGAGCTTGCAGTGAGCTGAGATGGCGCCACTGCACTCCAGCCTGGGCGACAGAGCGAGACTCCGTCTCAAAATAATAATAATAACAATAAATAAATAATCAAGAAAAATATAGTCACAAGTGCTATGCAGAGAATTGAGACAGGACAGTAGAATAGTCAATCAGTAAGTAAAGATGTAACCCCTAAACTGAGATCTGAACAGCGAGGAGCCAGATGTGAGGAGATCAGGGGAAGACCTTCCAGGTCTAAGGTCCTCAGGCAGAATGGTTTGGAGTGTTTGAAAAACCAACACTCCAATCCCAGCTGGTTGACTCATTGTGAAATATGTAGAGAGTGATATGCAAAACGGCAGGGAGGGCCAGATCACATAACATCTTGTAAGTCATAGGAGGGAGTTTTTTTGTTTGTTGTTGTGGTTTTTGCGACAGTCTCACTCTGTTGCCCAGGGTGGAGAGCAGTGGTGCAATCTCAGCTCACTGCAACCTCCACCTTAGGAGGGATGTATGCCACCACTCCCGGCTAATTTTTGTATTTAGTAGAGACAGGGTATCACCACATTGGCCAGTCTGGTCTTGTACTCCTGACATCAGGTAATCCCCCCACCTCAGCCTCTCAAAGTGCTGGGATTATAGGCATGAGCCTCTATGCCTGGGTGGGAGTTTTTAGGTGTGTGGTGGGAAGCTGTTGGGAGTTTTATTTTTATTTTTTTGAGATGGAGTCTCACTCTTTCGCCCAGGCCGGAGTTCAGTGGTACAATGTCGGTTCAATACCACCTCTGCCTCCCAGGTTCAAGTGATTCTCCTGCCTCAGCCTCCCAAGTAGCTGGGATTACAGGCCAGCATCACCACGCCTGACTTTTTTTTTGTATTTTTAGTAGAGATGGTCTCACCGTGTTGGCCAGGCTGGTCTCAAACTCCTGACCTCCTGACTCACATCTGTAATCCCAGCACTTTGAGAGGCTGAGGCGGGCAGATCACGAGGTCAGGAATTCGAGACCAGCCTGGCCAACACGGTGAGACTCCGTCTCTAATAAAAATACAAAAATTAGCCGGGTATGCTGGCATGTGCCTATAATCCCAGCTACTCGGGAGGCTGAGGCAGGAGAATTGCTTGAACCCAGGGGGCAGAGGTTGCAGTGTGCCGAGATTGTACCACTGCACTCCAGCCTGGGCAACAGATCAAGACTCCATCTCGGGGAAAAAAGAAAAAAAAAAAAAAGGTGATTTCTCAAAGCTCACCATAGATGCCCTCTTGGGAATGGACAGTGACGCAGCAGCAAAGTGGAAATGGAAAGACTGGTTAGGAGGCGCAGGTGAGATCTGGGTGAAGAAACAGGGAGTGGCGGGCGAGATGGAGAGATGGACATATGGGCTGTTCCGAAGTAGAGCTAACAGGACCTGCTGGTGGTGTGGGTCTGGGGGACCAGAACAAAAGAACCGTCAAGGCCAAGTCCTAGTTTTTGCCTTGAGCATCCAGATGAATGGTGACCCCATTTGCTGCATTGGGGGAAACTTGAGTGGTTTTAGGGTGGTGGAATGGGATCTAGGTGGAGTGGAATCTAGGGTTCTCTCTTGACTGCCTTAAGTATGAGGTGCTTTGGGGAATGATACTGCCCAGGGTGCGTGCGTGTTGACGCTGCTTTGCCCCCTAGCTGAGGCTGTGTCTGAGTTTTGTTCATGTGCCAGGGAAACCTCATGTGTCAAACATCCTCTCAAACAGGAACACGAAGCAGAGTATTGTGTAAATAAATTGTTGTTAGGATATGATGATAGAAATTACAGCTGAATTTGTTTTCTAATACTTCTGGAGTGTTGTTGCTTTTGTAATGCACATATAAAAGAGCATGTATGGGATGAAGATCCTTGCCAATGGAAATGGGAAAAAAGGGAACTTGGCATGTGCATAAATCTTCTTAGGGCGAGTGTGAAGGTTAACGAAGTGAAATTAGAATTAAACGTTCTTGTGGTAGCCACCAGGGGGCGTTGCCAGCCCCTGAGCAGGTTGATGGACACCTAGGGGCAATGTGGCACCAACCCCGGACGTAGTATTCAAAGGACTGTTTATATCTACAGGATGTGTGCAAGTTGTGTTTGTAATTCTGTTTATGAATCTGTCCATGTTGATGAATTCATATTACCCCATTAAAAATGAATTATCTGCCTCCTGCCTGGAGTGAAATTAAATATAGATTATCTGTTTGGTGGTTTGTTTCCGAAGAACTCTTATTTCTTTTTCTTTTCTTCTCTTTTTTTTTTTTTTTTTTTTGAGGCAGTGTCTCACTCTGTTGCCCAGGCTGCAGTGCAGTGGCGTGATCATGGCTCACTGCAGCCTCCACCTCCTGAGCTCAAGCAGTCCTCTCCATTCAGCCTCCCAAGTAGTTGGGACTACAGATAATGCACCACCATGCCAGGCTAATTTTTTAAAAATTTTTGTAGCAATAGGGGTCTCAGTATGTTGCCCAGGCTGGTCTCAAACTCCTGACCTCAAGCAATCATCCCGCCTCAGCCTCTCAAAGTGCTGGGATTACAGGCATGAGCCACCGTGCCCAGCCTCTATTTCCTATATCCCATTGACTAATATTTACAGACCAAGAGTTTGAAAGATGACAGTGGATTCTGTTCATTCTCTAAAGCCATTGCAGTTTGGTATTTAATCTTTTATTGTTGTTGTTGGCAGCTTCATGACATGTCATTTTTACCAAGGACTGGAAGAATAGGATAATTCAGACATAGAATAAGTTGGGAGTCTGTTTGCTCAGCTGGGGTCCAAGTAATAGTCAGTCTCTCATTTTTCAACTCAGTGAAGTCGTTTGAAAATAAAACTCCAAAGAGGAGTTAAGTTAAGGGTGCAGAGCTGCTGTGCGGCTCCCTTTGTGGCTCATCTCTGCGTGACTGAGAGGAAGCGCCATGCCCCAATGGCAAACATGAGTGGGTGAGGCGAATGGAGCAGGTGTGGAGGATCCCTGTGTGGTTCTAGGACCTCTGCCAACAGAGGAATCTTATCAAGAAGTGGGACTGGCCCTAGCTGTGCTTTATTTATGAGCTTGCATGCTTGAGAAGGAAAACAGCTGTTTTGGCCATTCTTGTCAATGGCCATATTTAAGTTCTGATTTCACACACATCACAGAGTGTTTACTTAAACCGTCTTTTTCTTTTTTAACTTTAAAATGAATTATAGGCCAAGCATGATGGCTCACACCTGTAATTCCAGGACTTTGGGAGGCCGAGGTGGGTGGATTGCTTGATTCTAGGAGTTCAAGACCAGCCTGGGCAACGTGTCAAAACTCTGTCTCTACAAAAAATACAAAAAATTAGCTGGGCATGATGGCATGGCACTGTGGTCCCAGCTGCTCAAGAGGCTGAGGTGGGAGGATCACTTGAACCCAGGAGGTTGAGGCTGCAGTGAGCTGTGTTTGTGCCACTGTACTCCAGTCTGGGTGACAGAGCAAGACCCTGTCTCAAATATATATATATATATTTTTTTTTCAAATATACTTCATTTGACCCAAATTCTATTTTACGGTAGAATACTATATCCTAGAGCAGATGTCCACCAACTTTTTCTGCCAAGGACCAAATAGTATTTTAGACTTTTCACACCAGGACTTTAGGTTTTGAAAGACAGAAATTTAAATTTCGTATACTTTTCCTGTGTCACACAATATTCTTTTGATTACTTTTCAGCCATTAAAAGAAATGTATAAACTGGCCAGGCATGGTGGCTCACCCCTGTAATCCAGCACTTTGGGAGACTGAAGCGGATGGATCACCTGAGGTCAGGAGTTTGAGACCAGCCTGGCCAACATGGTGAAACCCCATCGCTACTGAAAATACAACCCAGGTGCGGTGGCACGCGCCTGTAATCCCAGCTACTCAAGAGGCTGAGGCAGGAGAACCGCTTGAATCTGTGAGGCAGAGGTTGCAGTGAGTCGAGATCATACCACTGCACTCCAGCCTGGGCGACAGAGCGAGACTCTGTCTCTAAACAAATAAAAATTTTTAAAAAATGTAAAAACCATTCTTAGCTTGGAAGTCATACAATGACAGATGGCAGGCCAGATTTGTCCATCAGGCCGTAGTTTGCTGAGCCCTGTTCTAGATGGATGAATAAGTGACAGTGCAAAGAACCTCTCAGAGGGGTAAGGCTTAGAGAGTAGTCACGAGATGGCATGAATCCGAAGCTGCCTCTGGATCCATTTGTAGGAAAGAGGAGACTGAGGACCAGTTTGGAAACTGGCATGGAGGTGAGTTGAGGAAGGAAAAGGACAAGAGAGCAGGAGTGAGTGGACTGAGAGATGCCAGGACATTCCTCTGCTTCTTTCCTTGTGTTTTCTGCAGTTCTAGTCTACGTGAGATGGTTAGTCTAGCAGCAGTGATACATGGCAGTTCACCTGGTCATTGCCTGCCCTTGATTGCTTGAACAGCCCTTTCCACTTTGAGCTGTGATCAGTGGGGTGTGTGATCAGGGGCACAATTCTGAGCTTCCTGGAGCAGGAGCAGGATCTGGGGCTGGTTTCTCCCCAGCAGGCATTGGGACTGTATGGATTTCTGCTCTCTGTGTCTGTAGTGTGGTCATCATGATTTCAAATATTGGTCCCATCGTCCTCATGACCTACGACATTGGCTCCAAAATTCGAATCTTTGAGAGTCCAAGTGAAATCTCCCAGATAGCCTCGGTCCTCGGAGCACAGTGCTGGAACCATACGTCTCTGGTTTTTGTTGTCATTGTCCTGCTGCTGCTGTGGCCTCAGTGCTCAGAGGGGAGACCAGACCCTGCCTGGCCCCTCCTCTTCCTCCCTGTCAGAGACACATAACAGGGATTCTGCTCCCTCTCTCCTGCTCTATCGCCTCTTTTCCCACGGCTTCCACTTACCTTTCTTGCCTGCCCCATGCCCCCACTGAAATCTCCCCTGATGATTACTTGCTTCCCAATTGTCATCTCAGTCTTAGTTGGTATGTCCTGCAGAAACCCACACCTTCCCCCACATTCTCCCTGCCAGCCTTTCCTGCTCAGGTCACCCTCCGGCCCACTTTTTTCCCTGGCCTTGACCCCTTAGGAAGATGGAGAACCCTCTCCATCTTCCTAAGCCTCTTGCTTCCCTGCTGAGCCCCTCCGGCTTCTCCACTGTGCAACTCCCACCTTTTCCTTAATTTGCCTGGTCCTCCTCCACACATTTCTCTTATCTTCTGTCCTTTCATGCTAGAAATAAACCATAGCATCTGGTGGAGAGGCGGCGTTATCAGAGTCTCATTTAGCAATTTGTGTTTTTCCATTTTGCACACATTTCGATGAAATGTCAAGTATCAACGGTTTGGAGATTTGTTTAAGAGATAGGATCTCCCTGTGTTGTCCAGGCTGGTCTTGAACTCCTGGCCTCAATCCATCCTCCTCCCTTAGCCTCCCAAAGTGCTGGGATTATAGGTGTGAGCCACCATGCCCAACCGGTTTGGGGATCTTTTGAACAAGCTGATATGTTTATATTTTTTAACTTACCTTAGCATGGAGTTATATAAGCCCTCCTTTTATTTTCCACATATTTTCAGATTTTCCATCTTTGACCAGAAATTTGCCAAGCCAAGAGTTACCCCAGGAAGACTCTCTCTTACCTGGCCAGTTTTCACAAGCAGTCACTCCTCTAGCCCGTCATCACGTAGTTTATTCAAAGCCCACCGATATCTCATGGAGAGAGACACTTTCTCAGAAGTTTGGATCCTCAGATCACTTGGAGAAACTATTTAATATGGACAAAGCAAGTGCCCAGCTCCTTGTTTATAAAGAAAAAGGCCATTCTCAGAGTTCACAGATTTCCTCTGATCAAGAAATAGCTCATCTGCTGCCTGAAAATGTGAGTGTGTTCCCAGCTACAGTGGCAGTTGCCTCTCCACATACCACCTCGGCTACTCCAAAGCCCGCCATCCGTCTACCCACCAATGCTTCAGTGACACCTTCTGGGACTTCCCAGCCACAGCTGGCCACCACATCTCCGCCTGTAACCACTGTCACTTCTCAGCCTCCCACGACCCTCATTTCTACAGGTTTTACACGGGCTGTGGCTACACTCCAAGCAATGGCTACAACAGCAGTTCTGACTACCACCTTTCAGGCACCTACGGACTTGAAAGGCAGCCTAGAAACGATACCGTTTACAGAAATCTCCAACCTCACTTTGAACACAGGGAATGTGTATAACCCTACTGCACTTTCTATGTCAAATGTGAAGTCTTCCGCTACGAATAAAACTGCTTCCTGGGAAGGTAGGGAGGCCAGTCCAGGTCGTTCCTCCCAGGGCAACGTTCCAGAAAATCAGTATGGCCTTCCATTTGAAAAGTGGCTTCTTATCGGATCCCTGCTCTTTGGTGTCCTGTTCCTGGTGATAGGCCTCGTCCTCCTGGGCAGAATCCTCTCAGAATCACTCCGCAGGAAACGTTACTCAAGACTGGATTATTTGATCAATGGGATCTATGTGGACATCTAAGGATGGAACTCAGTGTCTCTTCATTCATTTAGTAACCAGAAGCCCAAATGCAGTGAGTTTCTGCTGACTTGCTAGTCTTAGCAGGAGGTTGTACTTTGAAGACAGGAAAATGCCCCCTTCTGCTTTCCTTTTTCATTTTTTTGTTTTTGTTTTTGTTTTTTTTTCTGAGATAGAGTCTTGCCCTGTTGCCCAGGCTGGAGTGCAATGACACGATCTCGGCTCACTGCAGCCTCCATCTCCTGGGTTCAAGCGATTCTCCTGCCTCAGCCTCCTAAGTAGCTGGGATTACAGGCATGTGCCACCATGCCCGGCTACTTTTTGTATTTCTAGTAGAGATGGGGTTTCACCATGTTGGTCAGGCTGATCTCAAACTCCTGACCTAGTGATCCGCCCACGTTGGCCTCCCAAAGTGCTGGAATTACAGGCATGAGTCACCACACCCAGCCCCCTTCTGCTTTATGTTTGGTTTTTGAGGAGGAGTGAAGTGGGAACCAAATCAGGTAATTTGGGGGTAATCTGTCTTTAAAATATTCTCTGAAAACAAAGCTCTACCTAAAAATTTGATTGGCTTTTATGCAAAGAAACAGTTTAGGACAGCTAGGTTCCAATTAATTCACATTCTTGGTTCCAGATAAAATCAACTGTTTATATCAATTTCTAATGGATTTGCTTTTCTCTTTATATGAATTCCAATAAAACTTATTCCAGAGGTAGTTCCTTCCAATTAAATATTTGAATAAATCTTTTGTTAGTCAGTAATGTTCTTGTAAGTAGCATGTCCAGCTGGATAACTTTCCATTTATTTCCACTAGCAAAATGATTATGTGAAGAAAATATGTGTTCCACGTTAAAATGACAAACCCCCTTTTTCTCATCAGTGAGCAAAGAGCTTCACTTGGGAGCATTCTAGCAGAATGTTAGCCTACATGGAGACAGTGGTAAGTCAGCTCTGATAAATGGCCAAATCCACTTGGGATCTGTTCTAGTTAACTTTTTAAAGAAGTATTACAGACATTTTCTAAAGTTGTACTAAGTTAAAAATGTACCAATATTATTTTATATCCTTACCTAAATTGACCAGCAGTCAGTTTAAGCTTAATGTAGAACAACATTGGAAATAATAACTAGCACTAAGATTGATGCTGCAATTTTTACTGGTTACCAATTAAAATTTCTGAGAAAGGCTTTTAATAAAGTTTTCCAGACAAGTTACAGATGAGGCAACAAAGAGTCCAGAAGTCCCCTGGGTCAGTTTGACACCTCTTTTCTCTGGACTTCAATACGGTTATCTGTAAAACAGGACATTTGGTCCCGTCCAAGTGTTATCAGAGTTTTTACAGATAAAAATGGAATTCAGATGCGAACTTAATACAGTGAGCACTAGAGGGCAGTAGCCGGTCAGTAAGTACAGCAATTAAGACAAATGCAGGACATGACAGAAAAGGCTTTTCTTCTCCTTCCTCCTCACCTCTTCCTTCCTCCTCATCTCCTTCCCCTCTGCTCTCCCGGTACCCCTCCCCCATTTCCCTGGTTTACACTAAGCTCATAAAGTACATTAAGAGTGTACATTAAAGTACATTAAATAATACTTTTCTTATATTTTCCAACTTAACAGCTTGACACAAATCTCCAAGGGGTTTACATAAGCTTTAAGTAGGTTGAATAAATAAAACCTTGAGTCAATTTAATCTAACAAGTATTTATTGAATATCCGCATCTAGGCCAGAATCAGATTAGTAACCAAGTGCCTTGGAATTTTAAAATGTCTCCTCTCTTTATTAATGGATTTAGTGAGTGGAAATAAGGCTTTCTGTGGTGGTTTATAAAGGTATTTTCCTGGCTCTCTTGGAGTTCTCTGTCCACCTTGCTGCAGCCTTTGTTGTGATGGAGAGACCACACAGCAGCTGTCCAGATGAGTGATGCTACAGGCCCAAACTGGCAGTGGCTGTGAGGATGTAGGTTGTAGGGGGACATCTGGAGTGGAAAGAGTGCTCTTCTCACACAGCTCTGTCTACTTACTGCCCCTAGGACAGTGGGCGCAACGGTAGCAAGGGCCGTCAGGGTAGAGGAATCCCTTAGAGGAATTCAGCAGTGACTAGTGTGGTCAGCCTTTCAGACAAGGCCCATTGAGTTATGAGCCCCATCCTTTGGTTTGTAGAAAGAGAAGGTGGCAGCCTAGAACAGGTGAGACGAGGAAGGTCCTTCTGCTCAAACATACTCTCTCCATATTTTACCAACACGATACTGACCTAGGTTAAAAAGCTACTCCTGGCCAGGTGCAGTGGCTCACACCTTGTAATCCCAGCACTTTGGGAGGCCGAGGTGGGTGGATCACCTGAGGTCAGGAATTCAAGACCAGCCTGGCCAACATGGTGAAACCCCATCTCTACAAAAATACAAAAATTAGCCAGGCATGGTGGCGGGCACCTGTAATCCCAGCTACTCGGGACGCTGAGGCAGGGCAATCACTTCAGCCCGGGATGGGGAGGTTGCAGTGAGCTGAGATCATGCCATTGCACTCCAGCCTAGGCGACAGAGTAAGACTCCATCTCAAAAAAAAAAAAAAAAAAAAAAGCTACTTTTAGCCAGGCACACAGCGGCTCACATCTGTAATCCCAGCCCTTTGGGAGACCGAGGTGGGAGGATCACTTGAGCCCAGGAGGTCGAGGCTGCAGTGAGCCATGATCATGCCACTGCACTCCAGCCCGGGCGACAGAACGAGAGCCCATCTAAAAAAAAAAACAAAAACAACAAAAAAAGCTGCTCTTAAAAAACCTGAGGACTCCTGGATGAATACTGCTGTGTGCCTGTTTCTCAATTACCCCTGGCCTGAGCGAGGCACTTTCGGAACTCTTTGGCTCCCAGTCTGTGGTGGACGCTACCGATCACTTGCCCCGCAGCCAGCTCCAGTCCCACTCCTGCCTCATTTGTTACAGGCTGGAGGTGCCAGGTTCAGGGAGGGACTTGTGACCCAAGTTTTAGCTGAAAGGAAACCTACTAGGGGCTTCTAGGAGAGATTTTCTTGCTTGTAAAGAGAAGGCTGCAGAAGGAGAAAAGCTCTTTTTGCCCACATCCCCTTATTTCATGGTTGGGATGCTGACCATGTGAGGACTTGGTCGTTGGAGCTATGGTGGCCTCCCTGCCATGATGAGGGGAGAAGGCACTGCCACACTGAACGTGGCACTGGGTACAGGAAGAGTCCGGTCCGGGATGCCTTGGTTAATTGACGGGACAAACCCTGGAACTGCCAACTTCCATCTTGTTCTGTAATAATAAATCTCTAATATTTGTACCACTTTTAGTCGAGTATTCTATGATTTATTACTTATTGAGAGCAAACACTTAGAAAATACTTACACTATGTGCCAGGTTCACTTTTACGTATACTAACTCATTTCAATTCTACAACAAACTTTTGAATAATTTTAATCCTTATTCTGTAGATAAGGAAACTGAGACAGAGAAGTTTAAGGGCCTTGCCGGAGGTCACTTGCCCAGACAGTCTGGCTCCAGAATTGCCACTTTTTACATTGTTATAACTGGAATGATACACGATGTAACCAAAAAGAGGTTTGCAGTAGATTGGAAATGTTCTAGAAAGCTTTTTGTTGTTGTTTGAGACAGAGTCTTGCTTTGTCACCCAGGCTGGAGTGTAGTGGCGCAAACACAGTTTACTGCACCTTCCAACTCTCAGGCTCAAGTGATTCTCCCACCTCAGCCCCCCAAGTAGCTGGGACTACAAGTGTATGCCACCATACCCAGCTAATTTTTGTATTTTTGTAGATACAGGGTTTTGCCATGTCGGCCAGGCTGGTCTCAAATTCCTGGACTCAAGCAATCTGCCCATTTCAACCTTCTGAAGTGCTGGGATTACAGGCATGAGCCACCATGTCCAGTCCTCGATAGCTTTTATTTTTATTTATTTATTTAAAGACAGAGTTTTGCTCTTGTCGCCCAGGCTGGAGTGCAATGGCGCGATCTTGCCTCACTGCAACCTCTGCCTCCCGGGTTCAAGTGACTCTTCTGCCTCAGCCTCCTGAGTAACTGGGATTATGGATGTGCACTACCATGGCCAGCTAATTTTGTATTTTTAGTAGAGGAGATGGGGTTTCACCATGTTGGCCAGGCTGGTCTGGAACTTCAGACCTCAGGTGATATGCCCGCCTCGACCTCCCAAAGTGTTGAGATTATAGACATGAGCCCGCCCCTAGATAGCTTTTTGTTTGTTTTTTAGACGGCGTCTTGCTCTGTCGCCCAGGCTAGACTGCAGTGGCACGATCTCAGCTCACTGCAGCCTCCACCTCCCGGGTTCTAGCAATTCTCCTGCCTCAGCCTCCCAAGTAGCTGGGATTATAGGTGCCCACCACCACACCCAGCTAATTTTTTAAATTTTTGGTAGAGATGGGGTTTCACCATGTAGGCAAGGCTGGTCTTGAACTCCTGACCTCAAGTGATCCACTCGCCTTGGCCTCCCGAAGTGCTGGGATTACAGGTGTGAGCCATTGCGCCCGGCCTCGATAGCTTTTAAATGGTGTTGAGCTGAACGATACCTTGAGCCAAAAGCATGGAAATGAAGAGGTCAGTGGTCTCATTCTGGGGTGGGCTTCATCCACTTTCCCAGTTGCTGATCACCTGTGCCAAAGTTAAGAGTGACTCCTCAGGGACACACCACAGCAGAGAACCCAAGCTGTTTCCGTGTCCTGTCACCTGGGTTAATAGTACCACCAGCCACCCAGTCCCTCCTGTATTGAGCAACTTCAAAGTCATACTCTTTCTCCTGCGGCCTCAGCCTCCACATCCCAACGTCTACCAAATATTCCCTATTCTCTTTCAAAGATACCTCTCAAGGTCAGCCGTTCCCACTGCTGCCTCCTGTTTGGTCTCCCTAACTTGCTTGTCCTTGCTCTGCTCCCACATCACATATTCCCTCCTTACGACTTCAAGTTACATTAAAAGCACAACACACAGTACATGTAACTCCACACATGACACTCTGTGCTCCCGGTACCTCTGGGGATGATTACCAGTTGCATGTGGCAGGTGTACCAAGGCTCCCCATGCACTAGCCCCAACCTAACCACGTTGCGTCTACCTCTGTCCCGTGAAACCTGGGCTGTAGCTACACCACCCTTTTCAACATTTCTCAGTATTGCCAGACACTATGACGAGCCATCCTATTCCCTCTGCTTGTAAATGCCTTTCCCCCTTGTTCACTTGGCAAATTTCCGCTCATCCTTCAAGACCACGCTCACACGTCACCTCCACCAGGGTCTCCCCACACTGTCCCGGGAGAAGTATCAATTCCTCCTGGGGTTCTGACACAGCTCGTGATGTATACCATTAGTGAAACACTTCCATGGAATCATCATGTATCAGGTTATATATTACCCCGCTAGACTGGGATGCGTTAGACAGCAACGTTTCTCTGATTCCACCATGCCTAACAGTGTGTCTGGCACATAGGCATTCAATAAGTGATCATGAGTGAATTTTATAACCTGTTCATTGAAGGTCATTTCTTTCAGCAATGGGCAGTAATGTGATTTGGCTGCATACAGAACAGCTTCTATATCATGCAGTGAAAGTGAAACCACTGACGTGCATTTTTTTAGTAAAATGGGATAAAATCCGGGTAATGAAGTGTATACTCTTACTTTAACTAAGCCCATGTGCAGAGGGATGGGTAGATAAGTATTTGATTTTGTTTATATCTCTCCTTTGGGTTCAGATAGTATAGTTTCCTTAGCCTATAGAGAGGA